CCAGCCTCCTATCCAGTGGGTACCGAGGGTAAAGGGGCATAGACGTGAAGCTGACCACTCACCTCCAACTAGTGCCGAGGTCAAGAATACGTGGATGCATACATTCACTGCCCCATACGCCTTCATGGTGAGTGCTTATTTAGATAAGCACAGGGATAATTTTACCTTTTAATATAAGACAGCAGTGTTCTGTGTTTGTGTATATATACACCACTTGTATGCTCTCAAATGTGTTCGTCATAGAACGGCAAGCAGTTATAAAAATAATCCGGTTTTGCGTGGTGTTTAGAACTGCGGTTTTCCTTGTATTAAAGCCAGCATGTAAAGAGCATTGTAACCGGAACTGTGTTATTTACGCGCAGTGTCAGAATGATGTCTCTGCTTGAACATGTTAAGTGATGTTTCTCAGATGTTATTCCGCGGAACCCTGGTTTCCGTAATAAACTCGCCTTAACAATATAAAGTCCAATAATTTAGTACTGATATGTAGACCCGTTGCTATGCAACGACCACGAAACAAGCGTATGTACAACAGCCATTGCTAAGTAACGGCTCTGCAAACACTAATGTGTCCACTGCAAGGAGAGGATACATCAACAATGGAAGACACATTTTCTACACGGTCCGTGCCAAGATGTCGTAACGAGGACCAGTTAGAAGTTGCAGACACTTAGAGACATACAAAAAAAATCCATGGCCTGTAGTCCGCAAGCGAACTTATACCTACCGAGGGTGTCACGTGGTCAGCACAACGAATCCCCACGACCGTTAATTTCGGCTTTCTAGACCGGAGCTGCTATTTCCCTGAAATAGCTCCTCAGTTATCCTCAGGAGGCTGAGTGGACTCCGTTCGAGACCCATTACTTCTCAGAAAATCTGTTAGCGCCGGGAATGGAACCCGGGACCTCTGGATCTGTAGGCATACCGAAAACACAAATACACTCTCTGTGCAGAATTCAGAGTTTTAGTGTGTTAATATCAGGTGCTACAGATAGTTACCACTGGGTCTTAAAGGTTTAAAGCTATTATTTGGGACTTTATCCGTAGATCGACTCTATTAGAGCCACGGATTTCAGAGATTTGTTTTGCATCTATCTCCAGGTCGAGCCATGGTTTGACAGTAACTCTACCAAGGGCCGATGGTGGTAGGTTTCATCATGTTACATTAAAGCATCCTGTTGCACTGCATGTATATGCCTTTGCGTTTTGTTTTATGCCGTCTATATGCAACTTCGATTACTATTCACTTGTTTTTCTCCACTGACACTACATGTTTTGGCCATCATCAGGTGTACAATTTCTCTCATGTGGTTGCCTTGCAGTGTTTCTGGTCATGTGGGTTCTTTTCTATCCTGTTTACCTGAAATAGGGAATAAAACGCTTGGGCATATCGAATTTTGTGATTACCGAAGCAGAGCAGATTAGTGCAGCGGTAAAACACGAGAACCATATTCGGGAGCTCTTTGTTTCGAATCTTGACCGGGTCACCGGATATTCTGTCAGATGTACTTAGTGGTTTTCCTCAGTTCTTCCAGGCAAATACCTCGATAGTGCCACTATTACGTTACGGCCATTTCTTTCTAAATATTATTTCGTATATCATTCACGATTCATTGTAGCGTTGCATATTCAGAGATACTGACAGTGTCGGTAAAATAACGCACAGTACTTTTCATTCATACCATTGTCGGCGTATCTCCATGCAGTATCGTGTGTATACAAGTGGTTTCCCTCTGCATCCCTAATTTACAAGTGGTCGATATTCATAGCTCTAAAAGTTGGACGTGTTAGTTTTGGGAACAACGTTAAGTTCCCCCACTCTTGCGACCGGCTGATGGCTGCTACAGCACATGCGCCGGTTCCGCGCAAGCCCGCACATGACTGAGAGACAACTCTACATTCTTTGCCGCAGGATCATCAGTAACAAGTGGCAGTGATGGTGTGGCTGATCGTTTGAGAGTTATTGGCATCAAAATTGGGAGCGGAGACCGTATTGTGCGTGTGGGGCAATGCGACGACCAGGTCAAACTCCACTTCAGGACAGCACATCAGCAGTCAGCGAGCAGTGGATGTTGCACAGACATGCAGAGGTTCGTAAATCAGTAATCCCCAACCTTCTGTGTATCGGCGGTCTTTTTGTCACATGACCGCCATCCTTCGTAGTAAAATAGAGTTGTTTCTTCCAAGAAGTGTACTTTTATCCTGCTTTCCATATTTTGTAAAAGTAAAAGGAGGCGTATGAGATCACCTTGCTGTGTGTGCGTCTGTTCCCCACCTAATTTTTGTTAGGAAGCTTATGGGATCACCTTGCTGTCTGTGTGTACCCCGTAATTTTTTGGTTTTGTATGCGGTGCGTGTCGTATCGAAGGAAAGAAGGCTATTCTTCTTGCCGACTGTCAAAAGAATTTAAATATACGAAACTGTAATTTTTCCTGTAGTTTTGTGTGGGAGTGAAATTTTGTCTTGACGTTAAGGGAGAAAAATAGACTGAGAGCATTTGAGAGCAGGGTAAAAAAATCTTAGTTGTCTCTGGACGTAACGGATTAAGCACTACGCCATGAAGGCGTATGGGGGAGTGGCCGTGTAGATCCACATTTTCTTGACCTCGGCACTAGCTGGAGGCGAGTGGTCAGCTTCACGTCCTGCCACTTTACCCCCGGAGAAAGAGCCCACGGTACCCACTGTATAGGAGGCTGGATGGACACGACAGCCAGGTGGACGGCTTGGAGAAGAGGAAATTGTTGTCCTCATCTGGACTCGAACTCAGACCCCTCGGTCGTCCAACCCGTAGCCAGTCGCTATACCGACTAATATTTCGGAATAGGGTGCTGAGGAAAATATTTTGACTGAAAGGGGAGGAAGTAATTCTAGAAAACTGCAGAAAGAGGAGCTTCATAACTTGTACTCTTCTGCGAATATAATGATCAAGTTAAGGAGCTAGGCGAGACATGTAGCGTGCGTGAAAAAGAAGAGGAATGCGTACAAGGTTTTGGTGGGACAGCTAGAAGGAAAGAGACCACTAGGAAGACAGGCGTAGATGGGAAGATAATATTGAAATGGATATTAGAGAAGTAGGATTGAGTGATGTGGACTCGATTAATGGCTCAGGATTTGGACCAGTGGCGGGCGGCGGGCTCTTGTCAACATACTAATGAAGTGGGGTTCCCTAAAATGTTTGGCAGTTCTTGAGTAACGGAGTGATTGGTGGTTTCTCAAGAAGGACTCGGCTCCATGGAGTTAATTAATTGTTTTTTATATTTAATTAATCATGAGTGGAAGTTTATTTTCCCGAGGTGCCACGTCTCTTGCAGTGGGACACCTGTTGGTACAGAGACGCTGATATAAACTGTTTACTCAGTACTGGCGGCCACTGCGATCACCGGGCTTCCATCACGTATCCGCGGATTCCAGCCCGTCGAAGCGTCATACAACTGGCCCATCCAACGACAATGGGTGTTGTCTGTATTGTACGAACTTTATTATTGTGTTATTCCCTGACTCACCATTTATTGCGCCCCCTCCTCCCAGGATCCAGATATTCTCCCAAGGATAGGGCCCACATTCAGGAGATCTGGGTTTGAATCTCGGTCAGGCGACTGTATACCCTGAGACCGTTAGTGATTGTCCACGTCTCACCAGGCAGATATGTATTTTTTTTATTGCTGGTGGGGTGGGACTAAGTCGCTTGTACTGCGGCCACTTCTGGCCTATTGTACCAGCCCCAGATGGTAGGTGAGGGTGATTGTGGAGCAATTGGTGGAATGAAGATTGGCAGGGGAAACCGAAGTACTCGGAGAAAACCTGCCCCAGCGCCAGTTTGTCCACCACAAATCCCACTTGACCAGACCCGGGATCGAACCCGGGCTGCCGCCGTGGGAAGCCAGTGATTAACCGCTTGAGCTATGGCGCGGCCAGAAAATGTGATGTTTCTTGGCCTAGACAAAACACCTGACAATGGCTGTCTGAGGCCGAAACATGTAAGGAGGATAAATGAAAGTGAAAATAGTTGCATTGAGGACTGAATATATTGTGCATGACAGATATGAACTGTGCAAGAGGATGCCTAAATGTAATGTGTGTAAATGAAACATTATGTGTGCCTACATTGTATCACCTGCGAATATAATCAAGTATCGAATCATTTGGGACTGGCGCGGGATAAAAGTACAGTGATACGTTTCATAGTTCTGCTCCGCAAGTCTTCAGTGGGATCAGAAAACGTACGAGAGAAATGTCAGGACATCCCGCAACTTTTAGAGCATGCGCAGGTTTAGTCTCGCAAGGGAATTAATTATTTCTTATTTTCATTCTTCAGCCACCTTCATTTCCTTTATTCCTTTCGTACCTTAGTCCCCATTCCATTTTCCTTCCTTGTTCCACTCTCGCTTCTTTTATATGCCCGTAACTACTTCCTGTGTGAGAGCGTTAAAACAAACTGGCTCATATGTACTCAGACTAGCTTAAACTACTTTAAAGCCCTTCGAAATTACAACGATAAATTGTTAAAAGACAGTTAAAAATACCTGATCTGAGTGATTTTAAAGAATCCTGAAAAGTAGCTACGATTACGCTGAGGAACTAGAAAGTAAAGATATCCCTGTAAGAGGCCGTGAAGGCCTATAGGGTTGTGAGACATCGAGGCTCCCACATTTCCTAGACAGTCGGCTCACAGATGGCGGTGAGGTTCTTAGTGTTACGCGCCTCCCGGCCGCCCTTTACCCCCAGGAAGATCCTTAGCACACATTTCTGTTGGAGGCCGACGTGACGCGAGGGCCATAGTGCGGCTGGAAAGATTACGTAAACTGAAAAATCCAGTGACCTAATCTGGAATCGAACTCGCGATATTCGGCATGTAGCATAATGTCTCAACCAACCACGGTACCGCGTTCCCCACTGAGATAGTAAACATGATAGAATTACAGCGTGCGTTTGGCGGTGCTTTCGTCAAGAGGACATGTTTTCGGCAGAGGTTGTCTATGAATACACACTTCGTCAGAAATACCTAACTTCTGTTTTACATCAGCTGGCAACAGACAGCCGTAATGTGAATTGTCTCTAGTTCACGGGAAACAGCAGAGATCCATCTCTGTCAGTCACAAGCTGAGCAACCGCAACTGTCGAGGTTTTGTTATTTGTCCTTGAGATGCAAAATAAGCTCCGACAGACACTATAGATTTAGCTAATAGCTATCCTTTCGACATTTTTTTTCCTTGCCACTACAGCCCCAGTGGGCCTAGGCCTACCTCCATGAACTTCTCCGTTCACTTCGGTTTTTCTAGGTCTTGCACATTCGGTAGGACTCCTTGGGCGGGTGATCAGTTCGCCGCAAGGCCTCTACCCGTACACAAACACAGAAAAACCCACACACACAAACTAAACATCCATGTCCTGAGTGGGACACGAACCCACGATCCCGGTTTCCAAGCGAGCGAAGACAGTACAGCCTTAGACCGCTCGGCTACCGTGACCGGCCTTTCGACATTACTACCGTACAATTCGTTATACTCCCGCTTACATTTTCCCCCTTTGTTATTGTAAGAGTACTATTGTGCATTATTCTGACTGATCTCGAATGCAAAAAATGGACGAAATAACTAATATCATTCCTAATTATAGTTTCCATAAGTAACCCTTCCATTAATGAAATCTCACAATTTCACTCAATTTGTACACCATAAAGGGGCATGGGGTGGCGTAGTTGGTTGAGGCACTATGTTACAAGCCGGAAGGCCGCGGTTTCGAGTCCCGATGAGGTCATTGGATTTTTCAATTTACCTAATTTTTCCAGTCGAGCTATGGCCTTGGGGTTGACTCGGCCTCTAACAGAAATGAGTACCAGTAATCTTCGTGGGGCTAAAGTGCGGTACGCAGGTGTGTAAGGCGACAACCTCACCACAATCTGTGAGCCGATTTTCCAGAAAATGTGGTATCCTCGACATCTCAACCCCTGTTGTCCTCTGCGACCTTTTACAAGGGTAGCTTTACCTTTTTACCTTTATGCACGGTATAAACAATGATTATTTGGTTTCGGTAACAGCCGAGGTTGCAATACCGACTGAGGCGTAGGTACGTTTCACTGTCCCCTGTTAGCACTAGTAACAATTATGTCAACACGAGAACAGAATAAACACAAACCGGCAACACAGAATACACATGCTGTAAACATTGGGCAGTGCAATGCAACCAACAGTGGATGTGCATACGTGAGGATGGCCGAAGGGCCGAAACATGCGGCTGATAATTAACGTACAGTATATCTATTCAGAAGTGGTGTTTACGGAAATAAGTTCAGTTGGAAATGACGCAGCATGACGCTATGATACAGTATTTACAGAGTTACGAGTTGTAGTCTTACAATAACGTTCGCGAACTCGCCACAGTGTGCTTGCCGTGGCAGCAGTGTACATAAACCTCAGTATGGTTTGATGACGTTGGCATGTCGGCGTTTCACAGCTGTGTTGTTGTTGATGTATGGAAGTCTTTTTCTTAGTGGCGTCTGTTATTGTCTGAGTGTGTTTTGGTGTCTTGCATCACGACAGTGCACCCTTTCACACGACAAGTAAACAACTGTGTTGGAACACCCTCCCTATTTACCGGTTCCAGCCCCCAGTGACTTGTTTCTGTTCCCGAAGCTAAAGGAAATATTGAAAGGAAGGCATTTTGTTGACATTGATCAGGAGTAATAAGACTTCAGCTTTGAAGACCATTCGACAAAACCAGATCCAAAATTGTTCTGAAGGCTGGACTAGGCTCCGATTTCCCAAGGGGAGTACTTTGAAGACGACCACAGGGATATACAGCAATGATGTATGTGGCATTTATATCACGATGAGTTTGCGAACTTTATTGCCAGACTACGTATATGTGTATTCTATTTGCCCTGCCCTTGCAGAATGAGTTCGAATTAACCGACTGTTGTAGTCTCTGTCGGGTTGTGGGGCGAACAGTACGTCAACACTGCTCTATGTCCGTGTTCAGGGCCACTTCAGTGCAGGCTGTGAAGAATGTTAGGACGGTTTTTTAGCCTGCTTTCCTTATTTTGGGATAAACGGAGGCCTACGATATCACCTTGCTGTGTCTCTGTCTTTGC